AAATAAACGATATAAACATTTTACGTGTGTGGCTAGGACCCAGGAAAGATAAGAATATAATAACAATTACAAGGAGTCAGAAAAATAAATCAAAATATATAATCAACTAAGTCTCAAGTTGCTAAGTTTGACTTTTTTCTTTTCTTTCGAGAAATCACCTGTTCAATCGATTTGGACATTTAAGACACCACTGCGCCGATAAAATAAAAGCAATGCGTCAAAAAAGCGATTTTATTCACCAAACAGTTGACAAAGTTTTCATCAGTTCATGTGGGCAATAAGTAAAAGGCAAAGTGTAAAATGCAATAGTTTTATTTCATGATTTAACAGTTAACAAATCCTCAAAATCTAGACCATCTTGGAGCTTGGTTATTAGACAAGATCAACGAGGACCACGTCGCTGCTTTCTTCATCTATAAGATACCACCATGAGTTAATAAAAAACTCCAAAGTTAAACAATTGTATTACCGCCGACAACTTCCAATTCACCGGGCAGGAAGCCGAAATCCAGATCCTGGGCCTCTACTGTAAAGAGAAACATATTTTTTCCAAACATTGCATGAATCAACTGAAGGATTTAATACCTCGGGAGTCAATCTGTCCGGGCAAGACTCCGAAGTCGATGTCGCTTTTAGCTGCAAATTAAACAAGGAATTTCAGAAATGTAGGATGATTGCGCCAAACCCACCTCTAACATCGTCTAACTGACCGGGCAAAACCCCAAAGTCGACGTCAGCTAAAACAAAAACAGACAAATTAAGCTTGAGTTGGCGCATAAAGAGTTGTACGCGTACCAGCGCGAGTGTCGTCCAACTGACCAGGCAAAAATCCGAAATCAACATCACGTTTAGCTAAAAAAATCAGTGTAAATATTAAAATGGTTTTCTTCTCGTCGAAATTCACCTCGAACGTCGTCCAACTGACCGGGCAAAACTCCGAACTCAATGTCGCTTTCAGCTGCAAATCAGACAATAAAATTTAGCCAAAACGCCCAATGGAAAACTCACCTCGAACGTCGTCTAATTGACCAGGTAAAAACCCGAAGTCCACATCACGTTTGGCTAAAAAAAATTACTTATTAAATTTTATAGTTCATAGTTTTCGATTTAATTTCACCTCTGGCATCATCCAATTGTCCGGGCAGGAAACCGAAGTCGATATCAGCTTGAACCGAAAAAATATTAATCATCGTTAAGAAGCGCCCATACTAAGCTTACCTTGAGCGTCGATTTGTCCGGGCAAAACGCCGAATTCGATGTCGGATGCAGCTGAAAAAAATTGATCAAAATGCCGAATAAGTTCAATTTATCAAAGTTATTAACCTGCGGTCTCCAGCTCGGCTGGGTAGTTGCCGATTTCGATGTCTCGTTGGGCAGGCAGAGCCAAACCTACAAAATGCTCAAATTTACCCAGACTAAGTCGTTTTCCATTTACTTACCGTGGGCAAAAGCCAATACGGCAACAAACAGAACTTTCATGCTGGCGTTTACTAGATTTGTCGTCCCTCAAACTGGAAACTGATGCCTAAACAGGCCATGCACTGCCAATATATACCGGAAAAATTACGGACTGTCTGCGTCATTCTACTTCTTAAGCGCCGAATGGATTAATTGCGAAAAGTAAGCTTTTTACAACAGAAAAACAATCCCGTCTAGGCCCAATCATAATAATAACAATGCACCATCAGTAATACAAGCCTTAAACAATATAAACACCGAACTGACTGGCCCAATATCGAACAATTATTTCAAGACTTAGATCGTAAAATCCATAAAACTATTAGAATTAATCAGTGCAATAAACGTTTATGAGGCAAAGCATTGGAAAGATCAGTCGTTGAATAATATTTACATTTTGCGCCACACCAATTCTAAAGAGATCTCTTAGGGCGTTATTCACTGGAAAGGGACCATTAGATGGCTAAAGTAAGCACGTACGCATAAAAAAATTAATTTGTTCGGTGCTAGTTTACAGGACACCAACCTCTTCAATCGCGTTTTTCACCCCTTTTCCAATCAGGGGCCACAAGCCGTAGGGTTGATTTTGCAAAAAAACCATGTTGAGGGTGAGTGTATTTTTCATCTTGCTGGCAAAATGCAAGTATACACATTAAATCGCTGATGTACTTTATAGAACATTAATCATATTTCCCTCCTATAAGCTTCCATCTTGTATGAATTTTTTCCAATGAGGGTCACAAGCACCAAGTAAATTTTCAAATCCTCCATGGAAAACTTGAATAGTCGCACTAAGAGCATGACGGGGAAACTCGATCATCGGAAACATTTGATTTGATTCATTAAATGGCGGTGCGCCCTCAATTTTACTGAAAAATCTCCAGCGGTTTCGCAAACATTCAAAATTTTGCTTTTCGCTTGCGCAAATTT